AGTCTAGCTGCCGGACTTCAATGTATGCACATTAGACAACCCCTTAATAAAAGAGCAAGACTTGGATGATAAAGCCTCTGGAGGTAGATACTGTATATATATATATATATATATATATATATATATATATATATATATATACCGTGTTTCCCCGAAAATAAGACACTGTCTTATATTTTTTTTTTTGGCTAAAAAAAACACATTAGGTCTTATTTTCGGGGTAGGTCTTATTTTTTGAATGTACAGGTGTGGACAGGGGGTGCAGAGGTGAGCTGCAGGCAGTTGTGGATGAGGGTTACTATAGAGAGGGCTGGCTGATGACAGATGACAGTTGCGAGCTGCAGTCAGGTGTTGCAGAGCTGAATTGACAGGTGAGTTTCAAACAAGGTGCAGAGATGAGCCACAGACAGAGTGCAGGGGGGGTGAGTTGCAGGGAATGCAGAAGTGAGTTGCAGGGGATGCAGAAGTGAGCTTCCGGTCCTATCTTCCCACACAGTGCACCAACCGCACTCACTCACCACGCCGCCTCTTCCTCACTGGCCAATGATCACCCCTGGAGCATTGGCTTCCATGCATTAGGCTGCAGGATGAGATGCCCCGCCCCACCCCTAAACACACTGCCCCCTCAGATATCTGTTCCTTCCCTGTCCAACAGTGAGTACAGAGGTAGGGGGGTTCTGTGGGAGCAGATGGTGCTGTTACTTACAAGAGGGATTGTCACTTGGAAACACAAAAGCCACTCTTCTGTGTTTATAGGAGACAGTAGATATTGGTGTACACAGGGCCAGTGCCAGAGGTGGTGGAACAGCTGATCACAACTAGGTCTTATTTTCAGGTAGGTCTTATACTTCAGCAATTCCCAAAAACAGTACTAGGTCTTATTTTTGGGGTAGGTATTATTTTCGGGGAAACAGGGTATATCAGTTTCCGAGAGGGTGAGGTAGAAAGAAATTACTTTCTGTTGGCTTGGATGGTGTCCTTATGATGGTGCACAATTGTTGGTGCTCAATGGTCCTTGCCTGCTTAAAGTCAGTAAGACAATTGTAGCAAAGGTAACTGGAGGGGTTTAACTAAAAAAAAGAAGTCATCTCAGTCACAGAGTTACAATAAATTTGGGCTGGATGGGGGGATTATCAATGGAGTAGTATTGAGGAAGGAAGTGCAATCTGGGGATGTTAAGACAATAGCCTTGAGAATGAAATGGATGGATTGGCTGACCTTCGAAGGGTGATAAGATAAGGCAATATTGAGCACCAGTGTCTACTGTGCAGTACAAGGAATGGATTAACAACCCTCTCACCAACCCCCTGCACTTCAGCTATAGATACTGGCGGCAGAGGGGGCGCTCATGAACTGATGTGATGGCTCCGGTGAACCCGCGTGACACTCCTGGAGCAGTTGGGGTGGACTGGTGATCCAGCTCTGTGTCCCCGAAACACAGAGGATGGGCTGGCGATCCTGCTCTGTGGCCCTGGAATGCTGAGGATAGACTGGCGGTTCCACTCTGTGTCTCTGGTACAACTGAGGATAGGCCACACTGGCAAACAGGTGCTAACAGACCCAGCACTCTGTCCCAATATGTGTTTCCTTTCCCAGTCTGGCACCACGTGCCCCGAACGTTCCCGGGCCATTTTGTAAAACTTCTCTCTCTCCCTTCTTCCCAGTTACTGGAACCGCATGAAGCTGTAGTTTTTTTCTTAACAGAGGACAGTTCCGCCTAAAGGTGATTGAACTACCCATGATCCTCTTCAGCTTTTTTTTCCTGGTCTGAGCCAGTCAGAAGGGAGCAGTGAAAGTCAATCGGAACATAGTAGGGGAACATGCTGGAACTTGCTCTCCCATATCAGTTTGGTGTAGTTTAGGTAATCTTTACTTACAGAGGCTTTGTGTCAGTACCTGGCTATAGTTACTGAGGCTAAATGCTTGAATTAAGGGAAATTGGGGTCAAATGTAGGGAGGGAAAAGTTGATTGATACAGGAGGGTTTACCTAATTTAATGTTTCTAAAATACACCAAAATATCAATAAAAATATGACAGCTCCTTTCTTTTCTCTCCACTTGGTTGCTACCAGGTTGCTGGATGCACCTTAATTACAACTTTTCCTTGGTGTACAGTCCAGCAAGTAATGTTCAGCAACAATTTAATATAATTTACACATGAAATTTTGTATAATTGTTTATTTTAATAATAACACACATTTATTTATTGTATTATTGTGGTTCAGAATTGAGGTAAAAGTCTCAGACAAACCACCTGCCATGGAGACAATCCTAGAAGAGAATGTGGAGCTTGAGAGTGGGGAGGAACCTAGGATAGAGCAGCCAATAGAAAATGTGCAAGAAGGAGAAGAGCCAATCACAAGCAGAAGAGGTAAGGATAAGAAATGGAACCCGAAGTAAATTAAAATGAGAGACATGGGAGGATTTAACACTTTCTCTTGAGAACTGTGGTGAACAGTTCAGAAAAATGCAACACTACTGGTTCAAATAAAAAACCTCAGTGGAATATGCAATGCAATGCCAAGCTGCGGTTTCTAGAGCAAGCAAAATCCTCTCTTGTATTAAAAGAGGTATAGACTCGAGAGAGAGAGATATCATATTACCCGGTACAAATCATTAGTAAGACCTCATCTGGAATATGCAGTTCAGTTTTGGGCACCAATTCACAAAAAGAACATTGGGGAACTGGAGAAAGTACAGAGAAGGGCAACCAAACTGATAAGAGGCATGGAGGAGCTCAGCTATGAGGAAAGATTAGAGGAACTGAATGTATTCTCTCTTGAGAAGAGGAGATTAAGGGGGGATATGATCAACATGTATAAATACATCAGTGGTTCATATAGTGAACTCGGTGTAGAGCTATTCACCCTGAGGTCATCACAGAGGACAAGGGGGCACTCTTTACGTCTGGAGGAAAAGAAATGTAATCTCCAAACACGGAAAGGTTTCTTCACAATAAGAGCTGTGAAAATGTGGAATAGACTCCCTCAAGAGTTGGTTCTGGCCAGCTCAGTGGATTGCTTTAAAAAAGGCCTGGATTGTTTCTTAGATACACAGAATATAACTGGATACTAACATTATATAGGTAAAGATGATCCAGGGAATTTCCAATTACCTCTCGGGGGATCAGGAAGGAATTTCTTTCCCAGCAGGAGCAAATTGGATCATGCTTTGCTGGGTTTTTTTGTCTTCCTCTGGATTACCTGTGGGTATAGGATTATAACTTTTTTTTTTTTTATGGTTGAACTGGATGGACTTTTGTCTTTTTTTTCAGCCAGACTAACTATGTAACTATGAATATCAAGCCCTACTTCAAAAATGTGAACTGGCCACATATTGGTGTCTTACATAAAATTCCAGCGGAGGGGTCCCCTGGGAGGTGCAATTGTGGGATGGGCATGTCCTTTCTCCCTCTTCTCCTCCAAAAACCTTTGGCACCAAACTCACTGCTTCTCCACTACCCCCTCACTCTCTAATCATCTGCCCCCAACCCCTTCTCCACTACCCCCTCATTCTCTAATCATCTGCCCCCACTCCTTTGTCCACTACCCCCGCACTCTCTAATCATCTACCCCCACCCCCTTCTCTACTACCTCCTCACTCTCTAATCATCTGCTCCCACCCCCTGCTACCTGTTACCATCTCCCTCCACCCTCTTCTCCACTACCCCCTCACTGGCTAATCGTCTACCCCAACCCACTTCATCACTACCCCCTCACTGGCTAACCAGCTACCACCACCCCCTTCTCCACTACCCCTTCACTGGCTATCCATCTACTGCCACCGTTTTCATCACTGCCCCCTCACTGGCTAACTATATACCCCCACCCCCTTCTCCAATACCCTCTCACTCTCTAGCCACCTAACATTTCTGTCACCAACATTTCTCTAATACCTCAAAACAGAATAACTCTGAAGATTCCTAGTAGCCCTAACATGTACTATCTGTGTTAACCAATTGAGCTCTGGAAGGTTTTACCCCCTTCACGATCACTGTATTTTTTGTTATTCAGCATTGGCAATTGCTCAGTCATGCAATGCTGTACACAAATGAAATTTTTTAATTTTTTTTTCACACAGATAGAGCTTTCCTCTAGTGGTATTTGATCACCACTAGGTTCTTTACTCTTTATTATATAAACAAAAAAAAAAACCCAATACTTTCTACTTTCTGTTATAAAACATTTCCAATAAAAAAAAAAATCAAGTTACATTATAAGCTTAGGCCAAAAATGTATTCTTCTACATGTATTTTGTAAAAAAAGAAATCCCATTAAGTGTATATTAATTGGTTTGTGTGAGAATTTTAGCTTCTACAAACTATAGTGTATATTCTGGAATTTACGCAGCTATGGTGCTCTACTGGTAATTATTATTATTTTATTACTACGAGTTTATATAGCAAAGGGTTTGCTAGCGCTGTACAATAGGGGGGAACTACTACAGTACAACAACAACAAACAACGTGGGGGTAATACTCTTACGAGCTTACAATCTAGGAATAGCGGTGATCAGCGACTTAGTGGGACTGTGATAGTGTGGCAAGCAATCTGGTGCTAAAAGACCCTCGCTGGGAGGTACACTGACTAACTGACACTGACATCATCAGTGACACTAATACAGTGATCAGATATAATACTGTAAACTGTACTAATGGTACTAGCAGGGAAGGGGTTAACATTTAGGGGCAATCAAGGGGTTAACTGTGTGCTTAAGAAGTGTATTATGTGCTGCATTTACTAATAGATCTGATTTGTTTTTTCTCCCTGCTGTGCAGGGAGAAGAAACAGTCAGATTGCTGATCTGTGCACAGAGCCAGTGAATGCCCGGACCAGCAACGGGCACGCACATGTGCACCCCTAACACGGGCAGGCTGGATCACATACATGTATAATGTGCAATGCATTTCATAAGCTTGTACTCCACTTCCTTCTGCAGAGAACACACCAACAAAGCGTCTGCTGAACAGACAATGTATTGTGCCTGCCAAAGTCACCGGGATCAGCTTGAACGCAGATCTGGAGAAAATACCTAAACCAAAAACTGCTCCAGAAAGGTGAGGTCAACCTACCTATAATCAGGAGTCACAACGATTTGACTATTTCTATTTAATTACTATTTTATCTATTTGTTTGTGATTTTTGTCATAGTCACTGCTGGCTCTGTACATCAAATAAAGGACAAACATCTTGAAATCTTTACTTTGAAAGCCCAGCTGCAGCCAATTTTATATAGCGGGTAAAAGAGCCTCTGTCAGGTGCCCTATGTGAGATTTTCCCTCATTTGCTGTCAGGACAGGAAGTAATAGGAAAACTCTCCAACTGGTGCTCAGATAGAACACATTTTTAGTACGGCGTGGAAGGATTTGAATTTTTAACAATTCTTTTTTTGCTATCTGTGCCTCCCTGTCCTCTTGATGATTGCTCCTCTATTTCTTGCACGGGTGACACAGGGACAAGATGTAAGTGAAACCCTCCCCATTGCGTCACAGAAACAAAAACTTGAAAGAACAAAGCAAAACAAAACAATTGGCTGGAATCATTGCTGCCCAATGATTAAAGTGGTTCTAACATTAAAATGTGTTTTACGTTAATGCAGGGTTTGACAAATCCCAGGCAACAGGTCACAATGGCAACTAGAAAATTGTATCCTGGCGCCAGGGTTGACACACATTGCCTCCCATAGACTTCTATGGGAAGTCGCGCCCCGTAGACTTCTATGGGAAGTTGCGCCCCGTAGACTTCTATGTGAAGTCATGCCCCGTAGACTTCTATGGGAAGTCTCCTCCCGTAGACTTCTATGGGAAGTCGCCTACCATACTTCTATGGGAAGTCGCCTCCTGTAGACTTCTATGGGAAAATACCTCCCATAGACTTCTATGGGAAAACATTTCTTATACACTTCTATGGGAAGATGCCTCCCATAGACTTCAATGGGAAAACGCCTCCCATAGACTTCAATGCGTAAATGTCTCCCATAGACTTCAATGTGAAAACGCTTCCCATAGACGTCAATGAGAAAACTCCTGTCAATAGCAATCCTATGAGAACACTTATCTCTGCATGACACTCTATCACTTGAGAGTCTGGAATGCACCACCACAAACTCGAACAGGACCCTTTTCATAATGGCATTCAAAACACAATGCGTGTGGATCACATCTGTGTGAACCACCTCAATAGAAACACAAAATATCTCGCCTGTTATGCGAATCTGTGAGTTTCAAAATGAATCCAGAATCCCATATGTGTGAACCAGGGAGGTTCCATTCACACCTGGGCATTTTGAGATAGCAGCAGAATCACTGTGATCACAAAACACGGGTTCAGGTGCCATTATTGTCAGTGGAGCATAAAACATGGTGCGGTTAAGCCGTGATTGTCAAAAAAGAGACTTCCGGTTCCGGCGCCGGATGCTGTAATTCGCGGGACCCGCGGCTCCCGGGATCCCGGCTCTACAAAGCCTGCCTACTGCCTCGGGGACCCCCGCTATACAGTCCTGGGGTGCCCCTTACCTTCCTGCAGCGGCCCCAGCATGGAGCGGTACCTTCTGCCGGCGCAGTCCGGCCATGAGTCGGCGGCCAGGGCGGAGGGATGCGGCTCTCCCCCCTCTGCAGCCAAGATGGCCGACGATGCCTGTCACAGCATGGACACAGGCACAGAACGGAATAACACCGAGGGAGCAGGTATGACAGAGCCTCTCCTCACCATCCACACTGCCTGCCCACTCACTTCTGCAACTGATAACACTCCTGAGCAGTATGTGCAAATAGCTCCAGGCAGTGTCCTCTATCCTGCTCCCAAACATAACACAGGCTGTAGACTGTCACAATGGGCATTGAACAGCTAAGGAAAAGATTTAGGCGACCATTCTAAACGTTTATCTGAGGCTGAGCAGCGCATATCAGATTTAGAAGATGAATTTCATTCAATGCAAGCGGTCACTTCACAATCAATCGTTGTACAGCAAAGTATATTGGATAAAATCGATGATCTGGAAAATCGATCACGTAGGAATAACTTACGCATTGTGGGTCTTCCGGAATCTTTTAATACAGGTTCTCTCCCTGATCTCTGCTCAGCGCGGATCCCTGCAGCTTTGGGCCTATCTTCTTCTTGCCAGGTGGAGAGAGCTCATCGCCTGGGCCCCCCATCTAACGAGCGTCGTGCGCCACGCTCTGTGATTGTCCGCTATTCTTAATTATGCTGACCGCGTAGCGATCCTCACCTCTTTCCGTAACTCCCGTTCTCTGCAAATTGAGGGTCACAAATTGCTATTATTTGCGGACTACTCACAGGAAGTATCACGTAAACGGAAAGCATTCCAGCAAGTCTGTGCTACTCTTTACCAGAAAGGAATAAAGTTCACACTTGCATATCCGGCCAGCGTTACGTTTTACTGCACCATCAGGGGATTCTAAATCTTTTGTTCATCCTGAAGAAGCCCACCAATATTTACAAGACCACCTAAGGGGACGGTGAGGTCCCGCGGGTAGGAATAGTGGTCCTAGAGACCAACGCAGCCCTCGCAAAGACCCCCCCAAACGTCAACGCAACTAATCTAGCCGTCCTCCAAATCTCGCCCGCCTTGAAGATCTGAGGAACCAATCGGTCTCTTCACAACTTCTTCCAGCCTTACTCCTGATCCGATGGCTCAATTGGATGTGTTTCTTCTTCCATTTTTTTTGTTTTTTTTCTTTTCATTTTCATCTTGGAAAGATTCCTCTTATTATTTACTGATATCTTATCACACTCCAATGTATGAATCTATTGATTGTTCAGCACGAGTTTATTTTTTGTAATTTCTGATGTTGAGGTGTTTCCTCGTAATCACCCGTTACATTGTTACTGTTTAATTTACCTACAGGCCTGATTTTACTACTCCCTTACTCCTGCATGTGCCTGATTCCATATTCAGCGTTGCTGTGGATGGCGGGATGCTGGAGCCGTTGTTGGGAAAAAGTTTGCGGGGGGGCGCCTTCCTCGCCTCAACAAATCGGCAATGGTCCCTGGGGCAGGTCCCTCCCCTGCCATTCCCGGTTACGCTGGTATTGGTGGAAAACAGCATGCGGAATGACGTGAAGTCCTGTTTACTGCTCTGGTATATTGTATGTTTTGATTTTTTTGTTTTGGGCTCAAATAGGGCCCCTTGCCTCTCTCTCTGTTTCTTCTCTTCTCTTCTTTTCTTATCTCTACTTCTTGGGAGAGCTCCTTTGTCCTCTGAGACCAGATTCCAACCACCTCCATTTGCCCTACATAGCAACGCCACCCGTTCCCTCCTTTTCTAAATTGGTAAGACTTCTTATCCTTTCACTATATATATTACAACAGTTAAAATGACACGTATATTTTCATGGAATGTTAAGGGCCTCAGATCTCCTCACAAACGCATGGCGATACTAAGACACACTTGCGGCTTTTTACGCGCGGGATATAGCTTTGCTCCAAGAAACCCATCTTACCCAATCGGATTTTGCCCGTATGCGTAAACTCTTGGGGTAGGCCAGATCTTTGGCTCCTCCTCCTTAAACAATAAAGCTGGGGTACTTATTCTTATACACAAACGGCTTAAATCCTGAATTAATTTCCATGGACGCTGACACTGAGGGTCGTTTTATAGCAGTACATATTAAACTTGGATCCAGGAGCTGGTTCTCTCCAACTTTTACTACGCACCCAACTCCCCGACGAGACAGGTTTTTCAAAGCCCTCCTCTCGACGCGGCTGGGCGGCCTATATTCACAAGCCTCTCGTCCTGGGGAGGGGACTTTAACTCCGTTATGCAAGAGCAGGAGGATAAATCACAGAAGTGTTGGACGTGGACTTCGCTCCTCTCAGATTTCCCGTCCAAACACCTACTTTACTATGTAGCTTCGTTGAAGCAATGCAAAATTACAGATATATGGCGCTTAGCACATCCGGACGGCAAAGACTTACACTTTTTATTCCCCTGTTCATCATTCTTTATCTAGAATCGATTAACATTTTCTGTAACCCCGTACTACTGCATCATGTGGTATTCTTCGACTGTACATGACATTAGCCATAATCGGATCACTCACCGATTTCTGTTACTATAAATTTTCTAGACCTCTACGCCACATCCTAGGATATGGCGCTTTCCCTTCGTTTCTGGCGAACAATCAGGAACTCGCCCAGCAATTAAAAGACAACATGGTCAGACTTCCAAATTACTAATGCGGCCCCCGTTTCATCCAACCCAAATTTGTTTTGGGATGCGGGGGAGGGAAGGGCGGTATTACGTGGTAAAATCATTGCCTTTACGTCTGTCCGCTTATAAAAAAAAGAATTCTGCATAACTTTTACTCGAGAGGCTAGTAACCTTCTTAGACAGACACAGAGTGATATGGCAGTGCAGTCCAAATACGCAGGAAACACAGGAAAGCTTGGGAGTGGATGAAAAACCAGTTTGACACACATGGGCGGCAGCTCAGGAAACAATTATTACCATTTCACATCTTGACTTACAATTACATATGGTATGGTAATAAACCAGGCAAATTATTGGCGCGCCTGTGTAGGAAGCCTTTCACCCCCACACAATTCACCTCTCTTAAAGACTCTCAGGGAGCACTTAAACAATCTCCGGAAGAGATCATATCTATTTTGGAAAGCTTTTATGCAAAGCTATTATGGGCCGGATCCTATTGACCAGGGAACAAGCACAATCCTTTCTAGACAGAGTAAATCTACCTCAAATAGATTCCAATAGCGCTTGCAATCTCTAAATGCCCCTATATCACAAGCGGAATATATGTCTAGCTACTTAGATCTTTAGCCAATGGTGTAAAGCTCCAGGTCCAGATGGGATTAAACCTCTGAATTCTTTTTAACTCATGGATAAAACCCTCCTTCTCCTACTCTACAGCTGGTTTACATCAGTCCATCCTGGAGAGTGGGCTTTATCTCCCATCGGCTTCACAAGCCCATTAAATTAATAGCAAAAAAAAGGCAAGTAGACCCTTCGGATCCTGGATCTTATTGTCCCTCCCATTTCCCTCCTTAATCTAGATGCAAAGATCCTTTCTAAAATTAT